CCTGGCCACACCTCCGCTCTCTAACCCCCCTTCCTCCACCCACACCCMCTCCSCTACCCACTTTGATGCATTTTTCAAATTTCGCCTTGGGGCGGAGTTATCTTTTCACAGGGGGGTAAGTTACACTTTAAACAGACTCAAGAGTTCTCCTTATTGTTTTTCTTTTCAACATTTTCAGTGAATCACAGCATTTAAACTAATATTCTCAAAAATATTTTTTTGTTGCTTTGAAAAATGTCTTGTTGCTTCTTTTYTCTCTATTAGCACTGAATAAAATTTGCAATCACAGAAATATTACCAATATTCATCTGACTTTTGATCACATATGAGGAATAGAAAATAATTAGTCTCCATCAAATATATAATTTATTAATTCATTTGAATWAAACAACGTGGATAATCAAACCGTTTCTGAAATTTGACATCTTCAGAATCCTCTTTGCTTCTGTCAGCACTGCTTCCTTTGCTTCTCCTTCATCTTTAAAATGTTTGTTTCTCCTCTTCATCAGCCTTGTCTGCTTGTTTCTGTTCCTCTCTCAGACCAGAGCCTCATGGTCGTGGAGTTGCCACTCAGCAGGGTCAAGCAGAGTCTCCCTTTCCAGAGCAGGATGAGGAGATCCTGGGCTCCGATGATGACGAGCAGGAAGATCCCAATGATTATTGCAGAGGTAGGAGCTTTATAGCTCCCGTCTGTACAGGAATTTTTAAAAAGGATCAGATTTCTGCAATCTGAATTAACAAAACAACCTTTTTATTTGATGTTCTGATGTAAAAACTGATCACCCATTCTTAAGCTTATGCTCATTAAATCCTATCTTTTATGAATTTATACTTTTTGTGCTGCTAATATGGTGCAATTATATAGCTTTATCATCTTTTTACCAATTTAGTGCCTGCTTCAAACATTTCTTGGGATCATTAATGTATTTTAGCTGAAATCCTAAAACAATCCAGCTTCAAATCGCACAAAAACACTGATTGGATTGTAATAACATGTTTGTCAGCTAATCCATATCTGTTGATGTCTTTGCTCAGGTGGATATCATCATGTGAAGATTGGCGACTTGTTCAACGGGAGATACCATGTGATCCGGAAGCTGGGCTGGGGTCACTTCTCCACTGTGTGGCTGGCCTGGGACATCCAGTAAGATGGCTCCAATTTACGTCAAGCTCAGATTTGTACTTTATGAATATGGTATTTAATAAAACAAACAAACAAACAAAAAAACTTGCTAGYTTTATATGATGAAGGAGAATAAAAAGTCAACAGCATGGTCCAGCGTTTTACCCACATTACTGCATGTTTATGCTGTCTGTTGTTTACTCTATAAACAGTGAGGTTTTGAAAAGTTATTTTTCCTGTTTCTTCAGGATTATAGTGTAAAAAAATCTGTTAAATACGCACAAACACACAAAATACTGATTTTGTGTTACTTATATTTACGATGGATTATATGCGACAAAATTACATTTTTAGAGCCACCTTTGTACTCTTGAGTTTGAGTGTTTCTCTAATTTAAAATGATTTGTTACATATTTTATTTAAAAAGCCCACGTGGTTGTGTTGTGCCCAGTCGCTGATTTTGTTTTTGTCATTTCCAGGGAGCGGCGCTTTGTGGCCATGAAGGTTGTGAAAAGTGCCGAACATTACACTGAGACGGCTCTGGATGAAATCAAGCTGCTCAAATCTGTAAGGCACAAATAAAGCTTCACAGTGACTCATATTGAAAAGGTAGTCTGTTTGTTTTAACTACACTATTTTTTGTTTTCCAGGTAAGAAACACAGACCCCAGAGACCCCAACAGGGAGAAAGTAGTGCAGCTGCTAGATGACTTCAAAATTTCTGGCATGAATGGAACTCGTATCCTCTGTTGTTCTGAAAATATATTTAAGACACTTAATGCTTTTGGTTCGTGTTGCTGAGACGATTAAACATTTTACTGAATCAGAGTATACCAATTGTTTTCTTTACGTTTTATTCCTGCAGTTAACGATGTGAAAGGGTTTTTCTTGACTTGTGTTTCTTCAGATGTGTGTATGGTCTTTGAGGTTTTGGGCTATCACCTCCTGAAGTGGATTATTAAATCAAATTATCAAGGCCTGCCTCAACCTTGTGTGAAAAGCATCATAAGACAGGTAGTGCACTTCAGGAGAAAATAAAACATTGTAACTCCTTTAATTTAAACTATCCTGATTGTTTATGCTCCGGCTTCTTTTCAGGTTCTGCAGGGCCTTGACTACCTTCACACCAAGTGTAAGATAATTCACACGGACGTTAAACCAGAGAACATTCTGCTGACTGTCAACGAGCCGTACATTAAGAAGATGGCTGCTGAAGCTACTCAGTGGCAGAAGTCTGGGGCTCCACCTCCCTCTGGATCTGCAGGTAACAACTGCTCACATTGTGCTTCAGTAAAAATGTGTATCACTGTTCACACGATTGACTACTTATAATGTAAATTTCAAATAATACAACTTTTAGGCCACGTTCACACTGCAGGCACAAGTGGTCCATATTCTACACTAGGGCTGTGTATTGGCAAAAATTTGGCGATACGATACAAATGACAGAGGGGTCATGATAAGATATATCGCGATATTATGCGATACTGTAAGCAAGGCGATATATTGTGATATATTGTCCAAAAATCTATTAAATAAAAAAACTCATGCAAAAAAAAAAAAAGAAAAACCAAAAGTCATTGTCTCAGAAAATTCTAATATTACATAGCCAGCTTTTGATACATTTAGTTGTTTGCTGCTTTGTATGTATT